TGGAGAGAGGCCTTATGAATGCAAGGAATGTGGCAAAGCCTTTAGCCAGAGCTCAACCCTAAATCAACATAAAGCCACTCACAGTGACGTGAGGCCTTACACGTGTGAGGAATGTGGGAAAGCCTTTCGTCTTGTTAAAAGACTCAAGGTACATGAACGAGTCCACAGTGGAGAAAGGCCTTTCAAATGCAAAGAATGTGGAAAAGCCTTCCGTGATTCCTCAGACCTCAGGAGACATCTTAAAAGTCACAGTGGCCAGAGGCCTTACCATTGTAAAGAATGTGGCAAAGCCTTTTCTCGTTACATGTACCTCTGTAACCATATGAAAACTCACTCTGAGGACAGACCCTTCCAATGTGAGTTATGTAAGAAAGCGTTTAGACGTTCCTCACACCTTAATATACATCTGCGAACTCACAGTGGAGAGCGGCCTTATGAGTGTAAGGAGTGCGGGAAAACTTTTACTCGTTCCTATTGTCTGTCCCAGCACATGCGAACACACACTGGAGAGAAGCCTCATGAATGTAAAGAATGTGGAAAAGCTTTTCATAGTTCCTCAGACCTCACTAAACATCTGAGGACACACAGTGGAGAGAAACCTTATAAATGTGAACAGTGTGGGAAAGCCTTCAAGCTAGTCTCAGCCCTCAATGTGCATAAAGGGACTCACACCAGGGAGAAGCCTCATATCTGTCAGGAATGTGGGGCAGCCTTTAAGGTTTTGCACTCTCTCACTATGCATCTGAGAACTCACAGTGGGGAAAAACCCTATAAATGTGAGCAGTGTGGGAAAGCATTTAGTTATAGCACAGTCCTTGCTAACCACGTTAGAACTCATAGTGGAGAGAAACCCTATAAATGTAAGGAATGTGGGAGAGCCTTTGCAACTCTTTCATCCCTTTATAAACATCTCAAGATTCACACAGGAGAGAAGCCCTATGAATGTAAGGACTGTGGGAAAGCTTTCCTTCGCTCTTCACACCTTATTGTACATAAAAGAACTCACAGTGGGGAAAAACCTTATGAATGTGAGCAGTGTGGGAAAGCCTTCAGGGTTTCCTCACGGCTGACTGTTCACAGGAGAACTCACAGTGGGGAGAAGCCTTATGAATGTGAGCAGTGTGGGAAAGCTTTCATTCAAGCCAGTAGCTTGGCCACACATAAGAGAGGTCACGCTGAGGGCTCATGAGTGAAGCATTGTGGGAAAGCCTTCAGTCATTATCCCTCTTGTATCCCTCTTGAATCCTTTGAACTCAGGTAGAAAGGTCAAAAAGGGCTTTTCACCCTTACTGCTCTTTCTAAGATTGAATGTAAAGGGCTTATTTTTTCACTTGGAACTAAAAAATAATTATTTGAAGAAGGGATAATTAGAGGTACTTGCGTGTCTGGGAGAAATCATTCTTTTTAATTCACGTTCGGACTGTGTCTCAGGGTTTGATTTTTTTTTTTCATTCCAAGGCACATTCTACCTTCATTATTAGATTATTTTCATATTCATTCTTGAAAAGGAAAGAATGAATTTTGTTTCCTTTTGGAAAAGGAAGGAATGAATTTTGTTTAACCTTTAAACAAAATGCACATAGCACCACACTTTGACATTATGGAAGTATACTTTTCATCTTACTTTGGCCTATTCATTTACAGATCTACTGGTAACGCTTCTGTATTGTTATCACAGTGACACTTTCCTCACAACATAGAGCCATTTCTCATTAACCCTTGTACCAGGGGCTTCAATAACTTTATCCACATGTTCCTTTATCGTTTAGTTCAATTATTCAGTATAGTGTCATAGATGATAATGTTACATAAATTTTATGATATGTGGGACTTGTCTTAATTTGTAATACACTGAAAAGTTAAATTGAATATGATATCAAAACTATAATTTATGAACTATGACGGGTTCATGAGGGAGGCGAGAGTGGGGCGGGAGGGGGAAAATGAGCAACTGATCTTAGCGCTAGAGTGGGAGGCAAATGTTTTGAGAATGATGAGGCAACAAATGTGCATATGTGCTTGACACAATGGATATATGTATGGATTGTGATGAGAACTGTTCAAGCCCCCAATAAAATAATTTTTTTAAATTGAATGTGATAAGAGAAGGCTTCAATGAAAATTTCCTTTCTACTTGATTCTATTTTTCTAAAACAAACTTTCAGGTCTCTATATTTCAGGTATGCTGAATGTTTACTCTAGTTCCATGTTCCTAAGCCTACCTCTGGGATATTGTGAGATCCATTCCATACTACCACAATAAAGGGTATGTTTCAATAAATGAGCTCCATGGGTGTGTTTTTTTTCCCAACACCAAGACCTGACCCTGAAATTTGGGGATCTTATTACCTGCGTTTTCATAAAGATTTCATTTGGCAGTGAATTAAATCTTGACAGCAGCCCACGATTTGCCGTCAGAGTGGATCTGATAAAGATGCTTGGTCTGCCAGTGAGCCACTCCCACGTGTGGCAC